TGGGCTCTGCCCAGCCCCAGGCTCCTCTGCTTGGGCTAACCCAGTCCCCTGACTCTGGGCATGCACATCACCCCAAATTGACCCTCTCCCCCACCTGAAAACTACCTAATAATTTTCTCATGCCCTTGAGTTTCTTCAGGGGGACAGTTGCCTCCCAGTAGCCAGAAACAAATTGGCCCTTTGACCACCCTGCTCTTACCAGAAACTTGAGGCATCCTAGAGGGGTTAAGCAGCAGTCCTAAGGGCTGCCTCTTGAGGAGGACAGTGCCAACCAAGCTTCAGGGCTGGGAAGACAGAGGGCCTGTGCTCTGGTCTCTTTTGGGAGATGGGCAGGCCTGCTGGGTTCTTGAAGCCTCATGTGATACCACTGGCCTCTTGTATACAGGCCACTCACATGCCCAAGGACTCCTTTCCCGGCCCCTGTGCTCTCCATCCAAAGTGGTCTCCTGCCCCAGGCATGGCTCTGAAAAGCCCCATGCCAGATTTAGAAGTCTGTGACTCTGGGAGTCTGGAACCAGGCCCTGGTCCTGTCACTTAGAAGCTGTGTGACTGCAGATAGCTACCACCCTCTCTGGTCCTCATCCTCTGCATCTGTGCAAGAGTTGAACTCAATGGTAATCATCACCACTACTATTTGTAGGGGGTTTACTGAGTGCCAGGCATTGCACCAATCAACAAATGAACCCACGCTCTCTTACTTAATCCTTCTAACAACTAGTTTTGTAGTAAGATCATCTTCATATTACAGGCGAGAAGACCGAGGCACAGAAGAGTTAAGTAGCAACCCCACACAGATGGTGAGGCTAGAACTGGGACTCAGACCTGACCTCAAACCTCAGAGCCTTATGACCACTAGTCTAGGCTGCCCCCAGGGACCCTGAACCTTTTCCACACCAATATTCCAGGATCTTATGGGGAAAGATCTTGTTTCTTCCCAGGGGATAAGACCACAGTTCAGAGAGCTTAAGTCNTTGGCTGGGTCCATTGCTTGTTGAGCATAGGTTCCAGCCTTACCACCCTTTCTCTTTAAGGCACGTCTGTCTCATGGAGGAGCAGGCTGGAGGCTGCTCTGGTCTTGGTCCCTGGAAAGCAGGCTGGACTCTTAGGATTCCATATCTTGCCTTTTTGCCAATAGCTTTCTCCACCTTCACCCACTTGGCCCCAGGCTGACAGGTGAGCAGAGCAGCCAACTCCCTGTAAGGTTTAAGGCAGCGGATGTCCTGACCCACACCCCTCTTGAGTCAGAGGCAGAGCAGGGTCATCAGGACTGCGGTGGCACATGGGTAGCACAGGAAGGCTCTGTCCCCACAGATCACCTCTGGTATCAGATTCCTGGCTGTGCCTGTACCAGGACAGGGGGAATCTGCTCCTCCTCTCTCCCCTTCAGAGGTTGTCAGGTCATGGGGAAGATGGCCTCTCCAGCAAGGCTTCCCAGGATGTCCCCTTTAAATCTAGCAGGGCTCTTAGCAGCACTTGAGTTCATCACCCTCTTCCACAGATGAAGGTTCCGCAGCTAGGAAAGGGCTGCACCGGGCCTAAAACCCAGGCCTCCTGGCTCCCAGCCTGGGCTCTGCCCAGCCCCAGGCTCCTCTGCTTGGGCTAACCCAGTCCCCTGACTCTGGGCA